AGGTTATCATATTATAAGAATATCCTGTAAGTTTCAGAACTGAAAGTCATTGTTAGTCCAATAAAAGCTTTTATTGACACCAGGCTCAGTAAATAACTCGTTTTTCAAAGTGGGGAACTATGACGTCAGAGGATAAAACACCACCCCCAGAAGAAGATCGACGCCTACTTCAACACGGCCGGTTTAGCCCCTCCCACCGTTTCGCGCATTACACGCCTACCTCCCGGGTCGAGAGTGAAACTCATTATAATATGCAAATCTGTTATCCACTCACAGCAGTGGGCGTTTAAGTCTTCAATGCGAGACGCCCATAAAAACCGGGCGTTTTTGAGCTGGGCTCAAAACTAGGGTAGAAAATAGCTTATTACTTATTCATTTTGATGTTTTTTTAAAGTAAAAACCAAGCGAACGTCATAAGTTGACCTCAGACAACAATATAAAAAAAATTAAAAAGCCAGTTTATGACCCCTTTAAATATAAAGATTTGAATGGCAGTGTATTATAGTCAAAATGTTTGATTGACACTATTTGATCTTAATTTCCTCAAAATGACATTTACAGCAGCGCTGTCTGACTTGTCACCTTCTTCCAGATCTGTGAAGGGTGATTTGGACAACTAAAGATGCTGTAAATAATTAGAGGCCTAAAAGTTTGTGTATGCAATGTCCTCTAGAAGAGCTGATGTCAAAGTCAAGCTGCAGTGCAAGAGAGAGAGAGAGAGAGAGAGAGAGAGAGAGAAAGAGAGAGAGAGAGAGCTTGGTGCAGAGTGCTGCAGTGTCCTGTATCAGAACAGAGATCAGCTTTGAAGCATTAGAGATAGACAGTGACAGGACTCGAACCCCCACAGCATCAATGGGTGTCTATTCCCACTCAAATCTCAATCTCCATTAAAATGTTAAATATAGGCACATACAAGACAAACACAAAGTACTAAATAATAACAGCGATGCCATGCAAAGATTGACCATAAATCACAACTGCTTGCCTGTTGTTGTTTTTTTCTGACTACAAAAACATTTCCAACTGATCAAACTACAGTTATCAAATATGTCAAAAGGAGCCTAATTTTCCAGAGAGCAGTTGTGTTGTCATTTTTGATGGAAACTAGAGTTCTGACAGATGGCGATTTGTAACATCACAGACCAGAAATAATTTATTTCCAATAAAGACTTGCACAGAAGTTCTTCGGATCAGACTTGAACTTCGGAGGCATTAAAAATAAAAGGATGATTATGTGAGAAATGAGAACTACCAACTACTTTTTGAGAAGGTTAACGGGACATTAAACTTCAGGAAAACTCACCTACTAGTCTGCTTTTACAGCCTCATTGTGTTTATGATGACGCACCACTCTTGCAAAATATTCTAACTCAAACTTTCAGAGAATTTTTTTTTTAAATAAAGAAACGCAGAATACTGTTTATAGTCTACGTTTACGTCTACGTTAAATCCTACTTTTGCAAAGACAAAACTGGGCTGGCAGGGAAAAAGTCGTCACTGCATCAAGCACACCATGGTCAATAAGTTCACTGCAACTGCCACTAGGGGGCAAACTGCGGATATAGTCTGCTGCTATAAAAAAAGGTCCAAAAATAAAGTAAAAAAGACCAATTAAGCTCTTGCAATGACACAAGCTGAGCGGTAGTTAGTGTCTTTATCTCTGCTCCGCCAGGACTGCAGTTCCCCTCATACCCCAGCATGCCTTAATCTGTCCCACACCACAGGATGCCAACCAGGGACCCCAGCCCTATTGGACCATCTTTGCCATATGTCTCTGTTCTGGGATCATCCATAAGGATCGGTCTCAGGACTACGAGAGGCCGTCTGTCTGAATCCAAAAAAAAAAAAATCAGCTAGACATTCAGAGGATTTGCTACTAAAACACAGACATGTACTGCGCCGACTTATGCAAAATAACATTGGTTTATTTTATTACAATGGAAACTAAGTAGGGAACACATAGTGACCTTTTCCATGGATGGATCCATAAGTGTCTGACTGTGATCGCTGCCCGAGGGCCGCTCTTTTTGGCTGCGTGGTCTCCTCTCCAGTCGAAGTATGTTCTGAGGGGGTGCAAGTAATTTTAAGATCCTCCTGGGTGTTCCTCCTTGCACTGATCCGAGTCCAGTTCTGCAGCGTGTCAGATAATGACAGACAGCAGGGTTTGCAGAACAACAGCTGATCCCGGTTCAGCGTGCGCGGCCCCTACCCTAAGCCCTTATGCCACCTGACGTTTCAGTGCCAGAGGCCAGATGATGTGGTTCGCAGCAAGACAGGAAGCTTGGCGTACGATGACTCCGCGTCAGACAGACGGCTCTCAGCGAGACAGGAAGCTTTCTTCCCACAAGCAGTGAGTGTTCCGGTCTGGAGTGGGCTGCTGTCCCAGCTCTCAGCCTCAAATCACTCACACATCAACAGGATAATGCTCCATTTACTGTGCTTTACCACTAAAATATACTCAAACCTCTACGCACGCAAGAAAATAAATATGAGCATTCCTGGCGAAAAAATAAAACACAAAAAAGTCCAGTAATACATCAATTTGAGTATCACAACATTCTAATGTAAAGTATGAAAAATGGTTGTTAACAATATTAAAAAAATATATATTCAAATAGTCTTTACAATAATATAGAATAAAATATAATACTGTAACAAATATTGTTGGTTTAACTTAAAAAATTAAGTAGCCTGGCTGCATTATTAAAACAATAAGTTATCTGAACTAAATAAATTAAGTTGATTTGACAAAAGAAAAAATGCTGTGATTACAAATCTTGCAAAAAAATTTTTACAGTGACATTTAATCTAAAATGACATTAAATCGTTTTAATATTAAATAGTTTTGTAATTATAAAATAATAAATTATATAATTATTTTAAATGTAAAACATTATTAACTTGAAGAATAATGTAAAAATAAATAAAATGTAAAAATTGTGAAAATGTAACTTAATTTTAATTTTTTTTTTGTAAGAATAAAATGTAAAAAAAAAAAAAAAAAAAAACTAAACTAAATTAAATTAAAGGACTAAAAAAAAAAAAAAAATTTTTTTTTTGGTTATGGCCCTGTTATGGTCACTCTCAGCAAGCTCGCTGGGGTACTTGTTACCCGTGGCCAACAGAGTGCATTTTGTGCAGGCAGACAGGTGCCGATGCACCGCGAGTCCCGTTAAGCTTCTCTCACGCTTTGGACCGATTTATCATTCTTCAGTCCCTGAGCTCCACGCGCCTCCACGACTCACTGTTACACTTGGCCCAATGCCACGGCAGATCCATCAGCCGACACTCTGACACACCTCGCTGTCTGCCTGGAGCGGATGACATCACAGCTGGGACACGAGCTCATTTTTCAGGAGTGGAAAGTGTCCTTCTGTGTCGATAAACGTCATTCAGGGGTAACGCAGAGGAACGGCTCACATTCATAAATACAGAATGAACATGAGGCAACGACCCCTTGAGACAAACAGGACATGGAGTCAAAGACTGAATGCCACAGACAAGAAGTTAGAAGAGAAGTAAACGTCAGATGCCTTCAAGCAACAATAAACGCTCTGTTGGACTCTGGCAGCGTATGACACAATCATGTCTGTGTCTCTCAACTGGGCCAGAACCTGCAGCGCACAGGAAAGGACACAGAGAGTGGAGTCTAAAACTGGGCTGAACACTAGTCACGACAGCCACTGGCAGCACACTCAGTCCAAGTCTGGACAGGGTCAGCTGACAGACACACACACACACACACACACACACAGGCAGGCAGGCAGGCAGACAGACGAGAGGGCACAAACACTCTCACAGTTCCCCTCTTGGTCTCAAATGCAGAAAATATTAACAAGCAATTAATAAAGCTTGGATAATGGGATGTTAACCGCTTTGGACACCGCTGACATTACTAAGAGATCATTTTAACATTTCACATGATACACAGATTCTCAATCTTTCTGGAGCTCAAAAGTAAGTAAATCTCAAAGCTTCAAGTGAGCAAATGTGATATTAAATGAGAGTCTGACAGAAAATTCTATCCATCAAGTGCAAGACAAGCAGCCATAACTACTGAACATTAAATGAATAAATTATTATTATCACCACTGAAAGAAAAAACATTGTGAGCCAGGAAACGTTTATAATATATTTTTCATTACTGGAAAAAAATTCTGATTGGATGATTCCATAACTGCTACTTCCATCTCATATATCTTTTTTTTTTTTATAATGCTTATAATGTTATTATAACTTGTAGTTTTATCCTTAAAAATGTAATAGCAAATAATACAATTAGTACAATAGCATATAAATATTAAGTACTATTTTTTATCTAAACTACAATAAAAAAAAAAAAAAACATTTTAACAAAATATCTAAATTTCATGCCCATGTATTAAATTAAGTAGCCATGTAATACTAAAAATATATAAATAAACTGCAAAAAAAAGTATACAAACCAATTAAAATGAATAAAGAAAAACTACTTGTAAATATAAGTTCAATTATCTTTGGTATTATTATGTTTTTTAATGTAATGTAGCCTATTTTTAATAATAATAATAACACAAACTAAATGTATCATATAATCATAGCATTTGATAATTAGCTTATTATGGCAGAATTAAGAAGATAGCTCACGCTGTCTGGGCCAAAATGAGCCCTATTATGTCTGGATGAAGAACTGGGTTACATGCAGGGTCCCGTTGAAGCAACCGGCTGTGTTCTCCGTAAAACGCACGACCACTTCTCTCTAATATATCTCCGATAAATTATTTGGTCTAGCGGAGTACAGAAATATGACAGTCTAGCGCACCGGCCTGATTATTGGCTTGTAGTTGTCTGGCTGCATATGAAGTCAGAGGGTCCCAGCAACTTTTTGTACCCCGGTCTAAACCCGCTGAGCTCCTCTCTCTATATCCGCGGGGCCACTGGCACAGCTGGCACCATTACGCACCCATCTGATGCCATCTGCACAAAACCAAACATATACGAGGAGAATATTAGCTCCTTACCTCTGCAAAGAGGAATCAGGAAATGGCACTATGAGTCCGCGGAGAGCAGAAGGCTGAGCCGTGCTGGCTGCTGATCCAGCGGAGATGACCTGGATTTCACCGCCAGACTCGACGGCGTAAAAATAATCAGGCGCACAGTGGAGAGTGAAGCTAGCGGCAGGAACACACGAGCACTGATGGAGGACAGGCGGAGAGGGCGTTTTTCAAAATAAGAGACTCAACTCAAGCTCGCAATACCGGTTTTTAAAATAAGAGTTTCGGTAAAAAAATAAATAAAATTAAATACAAACTCATTTCATTGATTGTATCGAGAGCTTTGCACCACTTTTTTTAATTACTAATTTAAATGTGAGTTTTGGTAAATTAGCTTAATATTAGATTGGGGGTGATTTTAGTTTGAAGTTAAACAATACATTTTCTACCATACTGTAAAATGAAACCGCTTTATGCTCAGTATTAATCTCAGTTATAATTAATTTTCCTATGATGTTTTTTTTTTTTTTTGCACGCCCGACTTACATAAAGATATTATCTCATGTTGAAGCCTGAAAAGCAGCAGTGATATTGAATATATTTATATATCGCCCCCTACTGGAATTAACGTAATATGTTTTGGGGTTAAAGCCACTTATCTATTCGTTGAATAAATGAAAAAAATCATCTCTATTTTTAAAACACAAACAGAATTTCTATTTTCTTAAAAGATTCAAAATAAAAACTAGACAAATAAGGATTTTGTATTATTATTAAGATGGTTGATGCAAGGTGATATGATTTTATTCCTACTGATTTAACCAGATATTCAGTTTCCATTTTTGAGTGTAGTTTTAGTATTATTTGTATACCAATATAATTGTTTATATTTACATTTATATTTGCTTATGTTTATATATAAATGTTTATTTTTGCATGACCCTTTTTTCTATTTTCAGTTTCATTTTAACTTTAGTAATTGCATGTTTTTATCGTTTTTTTTTAGATTCATTTACATGAATTTGTCATTTTTTTATATTGCCGAATACAAGTATTAATTTTTTTTTTTAAAAAAATCTTACTTACCCCGAATTTTTCATTAAATGTATATTATTTAAATAGATTAATATAAAATTAAAGATAAAATATATAAATAAAATTATAACTCTGGTTTGCATTTCAGTTTCAGTTTAATTTTAGTACTTCAAATTAACTTAATTTTAAAGCTACATCACTAATTTCAAGACTAGTTTTTTTGTGCATTTAAACTTTATTTAAATTACTATAACAACACTGGCTTCCTTAGCCATTGATAAGTGTATTTTGATTGAAGGCTTTATTACATGTTGTAAAAAAATGTGATAGATAGAATAAATATTTTCCTGTGGGCACACACACACACACATATACATATATATATATATATATATATATATATATATATATATAAATACACACAGGAGGGGGGTGGTGGAAGGGAGATAAGGATGATTCTAAGGGCCCAAAGCAGAAAAGGGGCCCTTTCGGCAGCATCAGTGGGGCCAACTATATGCGTAAAAAAAAGTGATCAAAAATCAAGTGATTTCACAGGGTCAAACAAGGAAACATGACTCCAACATTCATATTTTAATTCAGTCATAGCTTTATTTTACCTCTAGGTGGCACAAGGCCCAAATATACAACACTCTCCCTCTCAGTCCTAGGAAGAAGCGTGAGAGTCTGCAATGCAAAACCAGACTCGTTTTGCGTATGCAGTCCCAACTCAAGTTCTACTGTGCAAAACAGAGTCTTAGAAACAGCTCAACTTCTATGATTCTACAACCAGAACTAGAGCGGAATCTAGATTTGTGTGGTCTGGCTGTGGAGCTCGGGCTTGTCAATGAAACACAGATATACTAGATACAGTGTAAGAGTGTCTCTTTTCCTCCAGAGACGTTTGAAGCTCAAAGCGGCCCCCCCAGATTCAGAATCACCCTCTCAGCATCCAGTCACCGGCCCCAATCTCGTCATGACTCCAATCCGGTCCAGCTCGTCTGTTAAATAAATCCGGAGCCCTCCTCGGGATACCCGTGATCTACCGTGCAGCTTAACGTGAGGGTCAGTGAGTAGTGAAGGGGGGCCCATGAGACTCCATTAGTGTACAAGTCTGTGCTGGTGTGTTTCTCGGGGCGTCACATGCATCATCGTGTCCTTTCGCTAGGGCTAATGCGGCCGTGCCTGTCCCAACATCTTCAGCCTGGCCTGGTCAATCACATCCAGCAGGTTCTTGGCATCTACGGCCAGTGCGTGCGCAGCTGTTAGCATCTGTTTCTTGTAGTCCTGCTGCAGGCTGGTCATCACGTACTGCTGGGCCAACTTCATCTTATTTATCAGCTCAGCCAGGTCTGAATTTAGAAGCTTCTGAGCCATTTCGATCTGAAGACGAGGAATGGGAGTGACAGTTAGCTGAGCTGGCAGGAAGAACATTGGGAATGAGAGTATTTTTTGCGAGTTTACCTCTCTGTGCGTGTGAGCTGGTAATAATGGTATCGTCTCATCCACAGTGGCCAGCAGTGTTCTCAGTGCCAATCCTACTTCCTGAAACACACATTTCCATGGTGAGAATGTTGAAAGTACAAAAATGATCTACTAACATTTTGCTGTTATTTAAAGCTCATGTTGCATTTAAACCCGTTTTTAGCTTTATTTTATTTTTCAGTTCAGTTCATTTTAGCATTTCAGTTAGTTGCCAAGGCAACATTTCAAATTGTAGTTTAAAGTGCCTCTATTATGCCATTTTAAAGTTTCCAGTCTCTTACAACAGGTTTACATGCATCCAAGGTCAGAAAACACAGTTTCGAACACTGCACTCAGTGTCTGAAAGGGTTGAATAAAGAGTCAATCTCTCTAAAGTTAAACCCTTCCTTTTTGAGAGCCTTCTCTGCTTTGATTGTTCAGATGGCCCAGTCTGTCGTGATTGGTCGATTGTGATGTTGGAAACGAAACGGCCATTGCCATATCTGAATTCCTGCTCTAGAGGCTTCCTCAGCACTTGCATACATAGTGAAACGAACAGCAACGACAGTGTCGGTTTTACCATAGCAAATTGAACACGGGTCCTCGTCCATCGGAAGTGCATGCAACGTGGATCTGCTTTCATAGCTCATAAAACAGCATCTTTTCGAAATGTCAACAAGAAGAACCAAATCAGTAACAACTACAATGTTTGAGAGCGGCTCAAAGTAGATGATGTACATGGACATGCCAATGAAAAGCCAGTGATACAAACCTACGTATGTTCTTGCCGGAAGTAAGAATTTTTCATGACATTTGTCATGCATTTTGATCTTTAAAAATTTGCAGATCAGTTGCATTCACAAACAGACATACAACACACTACATGAAAGGTAATATTCCAAACAAGCATAATAGAGGCACTTAAAAGTGTTTTATCTTATATTTTTATTTTAGCTTTATCTCTAAAACTGTATTCTGAACAAATGTGGGCAAAATAGTTTTGATTTATTTTAAAAAAAGACTTGGCTACTTTTCCTAAGTTTGCCTCCTGAACACACACATTTATTTAATTTTTTTTGACTCAATTCTACAATGTTAAGTGGGTGAAAAAAAAAACTCCTTAATCTTGTATTTGGGTCAAAAATGGGCACCTATAGAAATGAATGGGAAAAACTGTAATTTAAAGCATTCTAAAATAAGCCAAAATAACAGTCACTTCATCTTTAGGTTTTAGCTCTAAGAACTTATTGGAATGATATTTTAATGCAGTTAAAATAAAATAAAAAAAATAAGCATAATTTGCATAGAAAATATGGCACTTTTTAAAGTTAATAAATAAAAAAACACCATAAATGGATAGACAAAACTTTATCGAAGACAGTGATATAACATTTTTAATAAATAAAAATTAGGATCACACCTGAGTCCTCTGTGCCCACGTTTGTCCAAAATTACAGGATTAAGGGCTATATAAAGTGAATACGGTTTGAGGGCTGTTCCATATTTATTTCAGCTTTATTTAAATCACCAAAAATAACAAGTTCTAGTTTTAGTAATCAATAACAATAGTGGTTGCGAGGAAATTAATTGCACTATAGATGCCTGTTTTTTTTGTGTGTGTGTTCCATTGAAATACATGTTTAAAACGACCTGAGGGCAAGTTTAAGGTGAAATAACTTTTAGGATAATCTCTCTGGACAACAAATGACGTATTAAGTGACCCTAAAGTACAGATATCTAGTATATTTCTTAGGTAATGTCATACCTTCACCATGGGTACGTATTCCTCAGGGGGAGCTGGCTGGATTTTACTGGACATCTCAATCACGGCCTTCACCAGCCCGGTCACATTTTCATAGACCTTATCGTTGGACCGATCTAAGTTCGCTGTTGGGGGTGGGTTGATCTCCTGAGGCTGAATCTAATGACAAATACAAAAGTAACATGTTTTAAAATTATGCATTAATGAAGATCATTTCATTACACACATAAACAAAGGATTTTAAATGAAGGTTGTGTTATTCAATTCTTGTTACTGGGCATAAGTGATAATGAAATGTGTTATGGTTGACACTAGATGGCAATAGATAAGCAACTACTGGAGACCAAACTCCACCTACAGTTTTAATACAAAATATCATAAGACAGCAAAAAGAATGAACAGAAAAAGTTCCCCCATCTAAAATATAGAGAGATCAGGGACAATAAACTGTGCACCCATCCCACAAGAATGATCAAAACCCTCCACTAGACTAGATTGCACAACAAGCACATTATTAAAATCACAGCTTATTTAAAAAAGCAAAGGACATGCATAGTGATCTATACTTCAGTTTAGTGGATAATTAAGTTATGATTGGAAATGATATGGTTGAGTAATGACATAGCAACTGGTTAAAGGGGGCATAAACACAGACAGAAACATAACACTGGGTCTACAGGTGGTCTTACCCTCCAGGGCTACCAGTGCAAAAACAGTGCAACAGAGGAAGGGCAGAGGCACAGAGCAAGAGAAAAGTGTGCAGAGAGAAAGAAAAAAAAAGAAAGATTAATAAATATCACTTTACAAATACATGCTGCAACGAAAGAAAGAGAAAACAGCTTGGAGTTATTGAATCATTCTGTTTGTTTTTTTTACCCAACCTCATGAAAACGTTAGGAGTGTTTAGTGCTGTGAAGTAATATAACAACTTTTACATTTAAA